ACAGCCCTGACTCGAGGGTCCTGAGGTCCCCGCGTTCCCTCGGAGGGTCGCGGTCCTGGGTCTCCGGCCCGGAGGAGTAGCCCGGGGCCCTCGCCGCGTCCCCTCCCTCGGCCCCACCCTGTCCTGAGCCTTGCTGCGCGGGGCAGGCCAGATTCTCTGCACGTCGCGTCGGCGGCCGCTATTCAGCGGCTAATTGAACGTTAATGGCAGGTGCGGATGAGGTCACCGGAGCTGGCTTTTCTCACACATTTTTCATGCAAATTCGCGAAACTCTAAACAAATTTGAATAAAAAGCTCTTTGTGCCCCGCGCCCCCTAGTCGTCTCCCTCCCGCTCGGGGTCCTGGCTCCTCCTGGTGCCCTGGGGCTCGAACTGGGAACCCCGGGGAGCGCCGCCTGCCGGCCAGCGGCTCCGTCCCCGCAAGTGGCCAAATGCGGCCCCGGGCTGCTGGGTGCGGGGGAAAGATGTTTCATTTGGGGTCGTGGGTCTGGGCCAGGGTGGTGGGGCCTTTAGGGAGGACGTGTGTGCAGTTAAGTCCGGCATCTGGACAAATGGGGCTGCAATGCCCCCTCCCCCACATCACACGGGGCCACGTGGGCCACTCTGGATGGCCAAATTGGCCTCACTCTCGTTCTTGGTTAAGTAGGAATAAGGATAGTGCCCAGTTAAGCACACAGATGTGAGGATTAAGCCACGATGTAAGACACAAGCTAGCACTTAGAATAGTGCCTGGCACAGTAAGTCTCGATTATTCTCTGGGGTCCAAAGGCCTTCTGAGAATGAATGTTGTGATGAAAGCAGGCTTGTGAATTTGCTCCTACATGAAAAAACTCATCAGGGGCTTTCAAGAGACTTACTGCCCCCTGCATCCCATTCTGGTCACAGACATGAGATCTGGAGGCTAACTCCACTGCTTCCCAGCTGTGTGGCTTTGCCTATTTCTTAGTCTTTCTGAGCCGCTGTTTCCTAGTCTGTAAGATAGAATTCAGTCTTATGGGGACATTGTGAGCAGTAAATGAGAAGACACAGATGGAGGTTGAGGAGGAGCCTGGGGGCTGGCCACCAATCCAGAACCTCTAGGACCCCTCTCCTGAGGGCAGGGCACCCACAAGGTAGGCCTTGCCCTGGCGATGACCTTCATCATTTGCTCAGATTACCCTAGCTCAGGGCAAGACAGACTTCCCAAGCCTTGTAAGACTTCTTGCTCCAACCTTTCCACCCATTCCAGAGTCCCCACCACACCTCAAGACACAGTTGTTGTTTTTGCTGGTAAAACACTCATACTGCTTTCCTCACTCACGTCCTCCTAGAAAAACTGACCAGAACATGGAAGGCTTTGCAAAGAAAATTTATTCGTAAGCTACAAGAAAGGCAGGGGGTTCACAGCAAAGGAAGAGAGCTCTCCCAGAGCTCACCCTAGTACTGGAGGACCTGTGGGCCGTGGAGGGGTCCTGGTGATTCAAGCTGCCTGGGTGCCATCTTTGCTCTCCTACTTCTGCTTCTCCACCCTCAGCCTTCCCAGAGCCCTGAACCAGGCCAGCCTCTGGGAAACACTGGAGCAGGCCTTGGGAGCATCCTCATCTTCCTGCCAAGGACCCCAAGGAACAGTCAATCCTATAGGAATGCAGATGGCCAGCAGCCACATGCTCCTTCTGTATGAGGCTCTGTAACCCTGTAAAGCCCTCCTCTAACCCCACTGTCCAGGCCAGGGCTGGGCACAACCCAGGGGATGCCATTGCATGGAAGTCGGGGAGAAGCCCAGCTAAAAGACTACTTAAGGCGACCCTGCAGGGTAGGGGTTAATGTTTCCATATGTGGGTGCTGGCAAGCAGAGTCTGCAGCTTCAGGGACCTGCTGTTAAGTGGCCAAACAGAATCTCTTTGGAGCCAGAGTACAGATTTTAGAGTCAAAGAGACTTTGTTTTTATCTCAGTTCTGGCACTGACTTAGCTGTGTGACTTAGGACATGTAACAACTTTTCTGGGCCTGTGTTTTCGCCTGTAAAATGGGTGCACCAATGACACCCACACCCCATAAAATTATGAGTCACTGCAGTAAGGCTGTGACCTGGCAGCTGACCGCCTTCTGTACTTGGTCACTGTTAATACTTTTTTGTCCCCAGTTCACTGGCCTCACAGCCAATCTGAAGTGGCTGTAGCTGTGCCCAGGCCTCAGGGACCAGGTTTCCCAGGCCCCTCTGGACAGCCCCATTTTTGCCTCTTGACCTGCCCCCTGCCCCTGTTGCCTCCCAGGCCACTGAGGCCCAACTGAGAGCTCTGCAGGCTGCTACAGCCCCCAACCTAAGGCAGGTGTAGCCTAATCCAGTGCCCCCTGGGAGGGTGGGGTGCAGCATTACCTCCCAGAGACACCTTCCGGGCCATTTACTCTTTCAGGGAGGAAGTAGGGGTGGGCACCAGCACCTCTTCTGCTCTGTGACGTCTTTCTCTCCAGACAGGTCCTGCTTATGCAAATAGGGCCATTCCCGGCCTGGCCCCCATCCCCTAGCATAGTGATACTTTTGGGCTGTGGCCAGATGGGGGCACTCCCCAGTTCACATATTCAACACCTGGCATGAATCCAGGGCCTCCAAAGGCCTCCTCCCCCAAACAAGCAGGTCCTCAGGGCAGAGGGGAAATGTCTGCCAGGAAGGAAACCGGGAGCCAAGGCCTACCCACCACCCACCATCCACCTCCCCTGTCCCTCACTTGCAGAGGAGCTGCAACAAAACCATCAACCTCTTTCGATTCGGTGAAACTGGAATAATGACACCCATGTAAGCGAGATCCAGAGACGGTAAGCCTGGCACCTTAGTAGGCTTTCGAATAACACTAGCAGCCATGATGGCATGTAATTATTAGGCCCCAAAATGGCCCATGGCTGAAGCCACCAGTGACTGTGGAATACTTTCTCCTGCAACACCACCACCACCCTTTTGAACCCACACCAAGTTAGTTGACAGAAGTTAAGCCTATTATATTGAACAACTCCTTTATATTTTTCAATAAAAGTATCTTAAGAGCACAGAAACCTAACAGTATAGAAGAGTGCATTCCCCCAACTCCACTCCCCAGAGGTAGCCTTCCAGTACATACTTCCAGAAACGATCCACATATAAGCATACTTATAACTTTTAAACATCTACAAGTAAGATCATACTCCACGGCCTGTTCTGTAATTTATTCTATTCATCTTATCATGTGAACTGGCCAACCTTCCACATCAACTCATATATGGAGATCTACCACACTGATTTTTACAGCTGCATGGTATTCCACAGTATGAATAGGCCATAGGTTCCTGTCCATTTTTTTACACTCTTAAAAAGAAATGCTCTGGTCGGGTGCGGTTGCTCACACCTGTAATCCCAGCACTTTGGGAAGCCGAGGCAGGTGGATCACCAGAGGCCAGGAGTTCAAGATCAGCCTGATCAACATGGAGAAACCATCTCTACTAACACAAAATTAGCCAAGCATGTTGGTGCATGCCTGTAATCTCAGCTACTCAGGAGCCTGAGGCGGGAGAATCACTTGAACCCGGGAGGCAGAGATTGCAGTGAGCTGAGATCATGCCATTGTGCTCTAGCCTGGGCAACAAGAGCGAAACTCATCTCAAAACAAAAACAAGGCCGGGCACGGTGGCTCAAGCCTATAATCCCAGCACTTTGGGAGGCCGAGGCGGGTGGATCACGAGGTCAAGAGATCGAGACCATCCTGGTCAATATGGTGAAACCCCGTCTCTACTAAAAATACAAAAAATCAGCTGGGCATGGTGGCGTGTGCCTGTAATCCCAGCTACTCAGGAGGCTGAGGCAGGAGAATTGCCTGAACCCAGGAGGCGGAGGTTGCAGTGAGCCGAGATCGCGCCATTGCACTCCAGCCTGGGTAACGAGCGAAACTCCGTCTCAGAAAAACAAAAACAAAACAACAAAAAAAAAGAAATGTTCCTCTGATGAACACCCTTGTATACAGTTCTTTTACAAATATGCCCACAGAGTAAATAGTGCCATTTGTTTGTGACCAAGTATATGTGCCTTTTACATATCCATAGTGATATTGCCACATTTCAAAAAATAGTGTACAATTTAGTCCCCAACCAACAGTGCTCGAGTCATCAAATAGGCATATGATACTACAGAAAACAAAACACTAGCCAGCAGTCTGTACAGGCCAGAGGCCCCATGGAACCAACTGAGACCGGCACTGGACCAGCACGCTGTCCTCAGGGTGGTTCCCAGCAGTATCCCCCTGTCCAGGCCTGTACCAGCTGGTGGTCCAAGGGTGCCCCGAGTCAAAAGGGAGTGGGGTCCACAGGGGGGCTGGGTGGAGGGCAGGGAGCATGGCTGGGGTCCCATCTGGATGATTTCCTGCAGCCATGGTCTCTGCCCTGCCTCGTCTCCTTGGGGTGAATTTATTCAGGGGTCTTTGGAGAGGGGGCTAAGCAGGAGGAGGGTGTGTGACCCTCACCAAAGGCACCCAGGAATGTGTCACAGGAGGGGGGAGCCCATCCCCGGGAGAGACGGGACGTCAAGAACCCCTGACTAATGAATAGTGAGTCTGCCCTTGAACCTCACTGGGTTTTGCCATTCTCAGGCCCAGAACAAGAGCTGAGACACGTCTGAGCCCAGCTGCTCGGGGACGGCGGCGGTTCATCTCAGACACTTTGACAGGCCGGGCCTTTTCCCTGCATAGCTCAGATCTGCCTCCCAGCTCCCCTGGCAACAGCACAGCAGCATGGCTCCTGGGTCCAGGCCCTGCCTGCTGTGAGCAGGAGGAGGGAAGAAGAGGAGCACCAAAGGGAGGACTGGCTGGGGAGAGGGAGCCGTTAACTCCTCGAAGGCTGGAGTCCCTTGCTGTGGCAACATTGCCAGTGTGCTGCCCTTGGTCCTCAGCTGGAAACGTGGTGAAGAGTTTCCGTTTGCTGGAGGCCTACCCAGAATGTTCCATGCACCTCAGACCCAAACAGACCTGGCTAGGGGTGACAAGAACAGACATGGTGAAGAAGATGCTAGGCCAATGGGTCAAAGGCAAAGGCCCCAGAAGGATGGGTTGGGGTACATTTTCTCAGGTCCCCTGCCAAGTCCCAGATGGGCAGGATTACGGGGTCCTCCTCCTCCATGCTGGCCCATCTGTGACGTCAGGACAGAGGTTACTTGCTCTCCCTTCCTGCTGGGCTTTTTTCCGTCTTTCCTTCTGGGGCTCTTGCATGTCCTGAGCTGGCTTGGCTCTCTATTCCAATCCTGTGACCTTGGCAAGAGCCACATTCCTGTCTCCATTTCATAAAAGCTGAAAAGAGGCTGTCCGATCATACTTCACTTCACAGGACAATCTAAAGATAAGAGAAATAATATGTGAGAAGCTTTGCACTCTGGGGAGGAAGGTGTCCTAAAAATCTCATTCAGGTATTATTAGGGCTGAAACTAGGTATTTCTGCCCCCTGGGGAAGGAGAGGCGGTGGGCTGCGGGGAGGAGCTCCTCCAAGGTTGTCTTAGCACCTCCCCAGCAGGGCAGTCCTGAAACTCAAAGGCAAGAGGTCAGGAAAGTCAAGGGTTTATGCCTGTGGCCTTTGAACCCTGTGGGTACAGCTCCGAGTAAGAGGTGAGAGAGAACATCATTGCAAGGTACTTCATCTGTATTATTTCTATGCCTCACTGCAACTTTATGAGAAAGGTGTGGTTTTCTTTGTTAGAAATAAGGGAATAGAGGGTCAAAGAAGCTAGGGAGCTGGCCTATGGCCACGCCAGTCATATGTGGTGGTGAGCCCACATCCACGTCAGCTGTACCAGTGGCAGAGCTGCCTAGCTGGGGTGCTGCAGAGAGGGGTCAGCACCAAAAAACAGTGTTTCCCCCATGGTTGCTTCTCAGGGATTAGAGCTTTTGAGTGGAAAGGTTCTGGCCCAAGGAAGTGGAATGGGGTAAGTCCCAAGGAGAGCACTGCAAACCCACCTTGAGGACCACCTGGGCAAACAGAGCCACCAAGGCAAACAGCATTCAGAGCAAACGAAGTGAAAGGAAGGACAAAGGCATCCAAATGAGAGGCTGGGAGTGCCCCTAGGAGAGACCCATGCTCTCTGCCCAAGTCTTGCTCCAGGACAGGTCACTTCCCCACCCCATGGCCATGCCAGCAGTGAGCTGGGTTTTCATTTTTGTAGCCTCTAGCTGATGGTGCCTCCTTGCACCCAGGCCAGCTTGAAAGGGACAAAGCTAGCTGGGTTTCCTGTGAGCCAGGGGGCTAGGAGCAGGGGTTACTGGCAGGTAACAGAGTAGAAAAAGCAGGAAGAACTCCTACAAGGCAAAATGCAGGGGCCAAAAGGGACCTCAGCCACCATCTTATCCAATGCTCCTTTCTTTTTTCTCCCTCTTTCTTTTTAAAGAGATAGCATCTTGCTCTGTCATCCAAGCTAGAGTGCAATGGTGCAATCACTGCAGCTTGGAACTTATGGGCTCAAGTGGCCTTCCTGCCTAAGCCTCTCAGGTAGCTAGAACCATGGGTGCACTTCACCGCACTTGGCTATTGTTTTCATTTTTTAAGAATAGGGTCTCACTATGTTGCTCAGGCTCTTCTCAAACTCTTGGCCTCAAGACAGCTCCTACCTCAGCCTCCCCAGTTACTGGGATTACATGTGTGAGCCACTGCACCTGGCTCAGTGCTACTTTTCTAGGTCCAGTAAAGGAGGTGGCTTGCCCAAGACCCCTCAGTGGGAAAGTGGGCTAAAGTCCAATCTCTAAGTTCCAGCTAGGTAAGGTAGTGTCTTCCTGTGCCCTTGTCACTTTACCAGGCCACCTTAGGCCCTCAAAGCCAATAGTTTCACCCAACAAGGCAAAGAAAAAAGCCAGGTAAAAGAAGTCAGCATTGGCCAAGTGCACCACGTGTCCAGGCGTGGCCTCGGAAAACCTGGGGCTGGGGGAAGACACTGCCTGCCTTGAGGCCAGAATCTTTCCTCGATGACAGAACATGGCTCTGCACTTCCCCAACACCACACTCCCATACTCCACAGTCAGACAATGGAAACCATGAACCTCTCCTGGCTGATGAAGAAACAGGCATGAGGAATTAGATCAGAGCACAAACAGACCCCATAATCCTGACCCGCAGTGCTTTTGAGAAGAAGGGACAGAAAGGACGGGCAGCTCTGGGGTACATGAGGGTGGTGAGAACCCCACAGAAGCAGCTTTTCCCCAGAGCCTGGTGGCAGGTCTGCTTCCAGCTTTGGGCAGGAGCTGGGAGGCCCTCAGTTCACTGCCCTCTGCTTCTAGGTCCTCTTCCAGGTCAGGCAGGGTGCCCCACACCAGGCAGGCCTGACTTGCTTGGATGCAAAGGAAATCTCAGGATCCTGCATCCTGCGACCTCCTCAGATGTCCTCAAGGGATGTCTGTATGCTGGCTGATAAACGGACTCATGATAGGGCAGAAAGACAGAGGGACAAGGTATGCCCAGCTGTGCCCTCCTCCCTGGGTGGTTTGGGCCAGCTGTCACTCTGCCTGGTTGGTGTTCAGCCTGTACAGGTGGCTAAATATTCTGAATATCACCATTGTCCCCACTCTCCAAATCTCACCTATCTTAAATTATCTGTGAAGCTGAACTTCTTCCTATCTGCCCCATATAGAAGGGAAAAGGAGAAGAAAAATTAACCCCATGAAACGCTTTCCATGTGCCCAAGAGTCTTCATAGCAGCTCCAGCAGAGGTAGGAATGATGACACTCATTTCACAGATGAGGGTTTAGAGGCTCAGAGACATCCAGGGTCTACTGCAGGGTCATGGCAGAAGCAAAGCAGCACCCTGGGCCTCGGCCCACAGCGTCGTCCTCTGTCCCTCCCTCCAGCCAAGGTCCAGGGCCTGGGCTGCCCCCGTTCTGCTGAGCTCAGAACCACTTGGGCTTTGCATTTGCACCTCCACCTCAATTTCCTGTCTCTACTGGGTTCCCTCAGGGCCCATCCCCTGAGAAAATCAGGGGTTTATGTCAGGGGTTCTCTCGCCTGCTTATCTAGGCAGGGAAGCCATTCCGCCTGGCATACTTGCTTAGTTCTAGACAAATCCCCACTCCGGACTAGCCCAACAGCATATTCCTCGCTGACCAAGTGAATACCTGCAACTTACAGAGGCTTCTTCTAACTGGGATTGGCAGCCAGAGGATTTGGGGGCTGGGGTAAGGGTGGGGGCAGCTACAAAACAATAAAACCTTAGCCATGCAGAAAGGGCCAGAAAGCCCTAATCTTGAGAACTTTCCTCCTGAGGGACAAAGGGGAGGTGACGCCTGGCTGCACGCAGGGCCTGAGCCCCAGCCCTCCACTGGGCACCACCCGTGCTGGGTCCAGCCCTGCAGGGCCACTGCCAGAGGAGGGGGAGCTGCGCTCGGAATGTGATTCCCCAGCTTTGCACGACACTCTGTTAGCAGAGTGCGACTCCCAACATCCCCTGTCACCTCCTAAAGCCTCTGCCAGCCCGCCCCACAGCGCCACAAGGATCACCAGATTAAGGAGCTCAGAGCTACAGCTGAGGCGGCTAAACCCCAGGAGGTAGGAATGAGGAGGGGCAGGGAGGGCGGTGGGCAGCTCCCCCAAGGCCCTGCCTCTTCTCTCAGCCCGTACTGTGGGCACCTCTCTTACTGTCCCAGCCATGAAGCACTCACTTCCATCCTCTTTTCTTCTCAAGCTTTGGACCTTAACCACCAGTTAGCCAGCGTGGGTGAGGAGCAGCTCAGGGAGACAGTGAAAGCGGTAGAAAAAGAGGCCCCCCAGAAACAGAAATAGAAAGAGAGAGAGAGGCGGGGAGGGGAAAGGCAGCCCAGATGGAAGGAACAAGCGCACTGCGGGTGGGAACTGGCTGGCGCAGTGGCAGCGGGAGGAAGGTCCCTGCTGGACAGAGGCCCAGGGCCTCCCCTGTCTTGCCTGAGTGGCTGGCTACCTGAGGTGAATTCCAGAGGCTCCTGTGGGTGGCTGTGGCCAGCTGCCTGGCCCCAGGGCAAGGTATATCCCACAACACCTGATGAGAGTGGGAGGGTGCCAGAGATGGGGAGGCTGGCAAAGAAAAAGCCAGAATTCTCCTATCCACTGAATCCTGAGACCCCTGCCCTGAACAGCAGGGCAATGCTTCATCCCACTCCCCACCTGCCACCCAGGGTTATTCTGAAGGGCTGTGAAGAGGTGGCAACTCTGGAGTTCCCAGATGAACCCTGACCCTTCTCAGCCCTGTCCCCTGCCCCCCACAACCCTGACCCTTCTCAGCCCTGTCCCGTTCCCCTCAATCCCACGGCCTGCAGGGGGCGACCAGGACACACCCAGGGCCCTGGCCAGCAGCTGCACTCCGTCTAGCTTCTCCTTTGCCTCTGCCAAGCTCCCTTCTGCCTGGGCCAGGGCCTGCTTCCCAGCACTGCAGGGTAGGGATGGGGAAGGGCTCATCTGTGAAGACCTGGGAAGGCAGGCTCTGCCTGCTCCTTGTCCTCCCCGCACTCGGAAAACAGGAGCCCACACTGAGTATCAACAGGGATGAAATCCTTCCTGCAACACTCCCCTCCGCCCCCAGCCAGAATCCATTAGTCCCATTCCTGTCATTGTGCTAAATCAGCGAATGCTAAACCAACACAGTTTTGAAATGATCACCACTGTTACCACCATCAGAGGCTTTCTGAGCTAGAAGAGAACCAAGAGATTCCTGAAGTTCAGCTTCCTCTTCCTCGTGCCAACCAGAAAACTGAGATTCGGGCATCAGGGGCACTTGGTCTGCCTGAGGTCACATGGAAGCTGGTGACAAGGACATGCTTTATGCCCTGTCTACCAGCCCCCTTTCCTTTCAGGGCAATGCCTCTATAAAGGTCTAAAAGGGAGCTTCTCCATCATATCCCAAATAAGATCCTGGTCCAACCACAGCCGGCAGGGATCTGGGGACAGGGAAGGCCGTAATGCGATCAGCAGACTGGCCATCTGGCTCGGGGACGGAGAAGAGTCCAGACTGGCTGCTTCTGCTGCCCAGTCCCGAGGGGCCCTGTGTCGCAAGAGACAGACAGCCAGATGGACAGGCACTGGCCTGGGTCTGGGAGGAAGCCAGTGAGTCCCCAGTAGTCAGAGCTGACCAACTTTCGGACACGGAGGGGTGGCAGGGAGAAGGCACAGTGAGCAAAGCCAGGCCCCCCAGAGGCAGAGAAACAGAACTCCAGGATGGGAAAGCCGTGATCCCCCAGCCAAGCTCAGAGCCTGGCTCCCCAGGTAGGCCCAGCCCCTCTCATCTCCAGGCCCCCAGCCTACTGGCCAGCCACAAACAGGGCCCCCTCCAGGGGGGAAAGGCAAACACATCTCCCCTGGCACCTTCTCAGACATGCATGCAAAACTAATTAACATGGGGAGACATGCTAGCAGCCGGCCAGCTCCACACCCTCGAGTCCACGCAAACAAGGCGAGCCCTTGTCCAGGGGACGTGCACAAAGCTTTGTTGCTAATTTAGGCATCTGTCTCTGTCTGGTCTGGTCCTCCTGCCTGCGCTGGGGTTTTTCCCAGCCCCTTGGACAATGCTGGGAACAGGCCCACCGATCCTTTATTCAAATCACACCCGGCACAATGAGCTCATTGTGCAGGCCACAGAAAAGGGGATGCTGGGGGGTGGGAGTGTGTAACGGGGCATCAGGGAGTAGAGGAGGGTGGGGGGTGTAAAGAAAATGGGAACCCAGGAAAGTGTTTACTAACACAGACCTTGCAGCTGCCTTGGGCCCCCTTGCCCTCCCCTGCCTGGCTTGGAGCTGGGGGGAAGTGCTGGAACTCAGAGGTGGGGGGCCCCAGAGTAGAAGAGGGCTGAAACCTACATCTTGTTGACCTCTCCCACCTTCAAGAGTTTATAGCTACCTCTGCACGTCCAAGGCCAGGCACATTTTTTAATATGATGGTTTGGGGGTTGGCTTTATTCTTACTTCAGGCTTAAATGTGCAGATCCCAAACGCAGAAGAGGAGACAGAGCTGAGGGGAGAGATGCTGGCGGCTGTGCAGGGTGGGACCTGCCGTCTTGGCCATTGTCTTCAGGCAACGTTTCATTTTCTCCTCCTTTGCAGCTAATAAATTAGAGAAGAGACGGTGAGCTGTGAAGGGACAGGCTCCCCGTGGATGGCAGCAGAGGGCTAGAAGGCAAGTCTGGGAGCTCACAGCAGACGGGGCTCACCCAGCCCAGCGGCTGCCCAACCACACTTGGTCAGACACTCACATGCAGCCCCACACAATGAGCAGCAGCATGGAAAAAAATCTACACACACACACACACACACACACACACACACACACACACCCTTTCCTGAGGTCCCTGAGCAGGAGAGCTGTACTTCACACACATGCATGCACGCACACACACACACACACACACACACACCCCCTCCTGAGGTCCCCGAGCAGGAGAGCTGTGCTTTGAAATGCCCTCTCTTTACTGCCACTTTCCCCAGCTCCTTGTCGCACTGAATGCGCCTAGACAGGCCAACAGAAACAGACACACAGAGCCTGACACTGACGCGCAGACACAAAAAGAAACACACACACCCAGAGGCAGCCCAGACACACAGTGACAATGGTGTAATGAACGTAGGACAGCAAGTGCATTCCATCAGAAGCCCACACCCTGGCCGCCCTGCACAGCCCTGGGGAGCTGAAAGGTTACAGAGAAGCTGTCAGCTAGCTCTTCCAGCAACCTCCTCCCAAGGCGCCCAGGACTGCTGCTGGGGACAGGAGGTGAGGTAAAATACTGTTTCCGGCATCCAGATGGAAGCAAATTCCTCCTGAGACAAAAAAGTTTGGATCTGGTCTCAGCCCTTAGTCAGTATTGGTTGAGCTGTCTGGATTTTTCTTTTTTATATAATAAAACAAAGGGTGCTTGTGAAGTATCCTGCCTTTTGAGACTATATACCTTGAAGCAGGGGCAAAGTGGAATCTTGCTGGGATAATTTCCTACTGTGGTTCAATCCAAAGGTTAGAGTGATTTCTTTCTGGTGTTAAAAAAAATTCTGTGAAGGCGATCATAACACAAATGGTTAAAGTATCAGAAACTCTTTAAAATGTGCTCTGGGGATCCCTCTACCATCCCAGAGGAATGGAACTGTAGTAGGTTGAATGATATGAAATTACCAACATTTGACTATTTTTCATCAACAAGAAATTTCACATGGGTCAACCTAGTAGGTGCTTGTTCCAAGAACCACCAACGATATTTCCCCTTTTTAAATTAAATGACATTTTTTTTTTTTTTAGAGACAGGGGTCTCACTCTGTCCCCCAGGCTGGAGTGCAATGGCCAGATCAGAGCTCACTGCAGCCTGGACGCCCTGGGCTCAAGTGATCCTCCAGCCTCAGCCTCCTGAATAGCTGGGTCTGCAGGTGTGCCACCATACGCAATATTTTCCCTTTTCAAATGTCCTTCCTGAACTGGGTTATTTTCTCCCTAAAGCAGAAAAAAAACAAAAAAAAAACGGTATTCCAAGACCTAAATCCATCTCAGACCATCCATCTACAGCCACATAAATACATCACACAGAGAGGTCAGAACAGCAGCTGAAAAGAACTGCCAACACACATGTGCGGCCCAAGGACCATGTCAGGACAGGGCCTACCTTCAGACTCTTGCCACCATGTCAGGATGGTACTCACCTTCAGACTCTTGCCACCATGTCAGGATGGGGTTTCACCTTCAGACTTTTGTCACCATGTCAGGACGGGGATTCACCTTCAGACTCTTGCCACCATGTCAGGATGGGGATTCACCTTCAGACTCATGCCACCATGTGAGGATGGGGACTCACCTTCAGACTCATGCCACCATGTTAGGATGGGGACTCACCTTCAGACTCTTGTCACCATGTGAGGACAGAGACTCACCTTCAGACTCATGTCACCATGTCAGGATGGGGACTCACCTTCAGACTCTTGCCACCATGGCACGATGGGACTCACCTTTAGACTCACCATGTCAGGATGGGATTCACCTTCAGACTCTTGCCACCATGTCAGGATGGGTTATCACCTTCAGACTCTTGTCACCATGTCAGAATGGGGACTCACCTTCAGACTCATGCCACCATGTCAGGATGGGGACTCACCTTCAGACTCTTGCCACCATGTCACAATGGGACTCACCTTCAGACTCATGCCACCATGTCAGGATGGGGATTCACCTTCAGACTCATGACACCATGTCAGGATGAGGACTCACCTTCAGACTCATGCCACCATGTCACAATGGGACTCACCTTCAGACTCATGCCACCATGTCAGGATGGGGACTCACCTTCAGACTCTTGTCACCATGTCAGGACGGGGACTCACCTTCAGACTCATGGCACCATGTCAGGACGGGGACTCACCTTCAGACTCTTGCCACCATGGCACGATGGGACTCACCTTTAGACTCACCATGTCAGGATGGGATTCACCTTCAGACTCTTGCCACCATGTCAGGATGGGTTATCACCTTCAGACTCTTGTCACCATGTCAGAATGGAGACTCACCTTCAGACTCATGCCACCATGTCAGGATGGGGACTCACCTTCAGACTCTTGCCACCATGTCACAATGGGACTCACCTTCAGACTCATGCCACCATGTCAGGATGGGGATTCAACTTCAGACTCATGACACCATGTCAGGATGAGGACTCACCTTCAGACTCATGCCACCATGTCACAATGGGACTCACCTTCAGACTCATGCCACCATGTCAGGATGGGGACTCACCTTCAGACTCTTGTCACCATGTCAGAACGGGGACTCACCTTCAGACTCTTGTCATCATGTCAGAATAGGGCATCACCTTCAGACTCTTGTCACCATGTCAGAACAGGGACTCACCTACCTTCAGACTCATGCCACCATGTCAGGATGGGGACTCACCTTCAGACTCTTGTCATCATGTCAGGACGGGGACTCACCCTCAGACTCATGCCACCATGTCAGGATGGGGACTCACCTTCAGACTCTTGTCATCATGTCAGGACGGGGACTCACCTTCAGACTCATGCCACCACGTCAGGATGGGGACTTACCTTCACATTGTTGCCACCAGGCCTTCCGCTTCTCTTTTCTCTGTCTTCGGACTCCAGAGCATGTCCTAGACAGGGACAGAGGAACGTAAGAGGGAAAACAGAACTGGAAATGGGTCAACAGCCCACCTGGCCTCTCCAGCACTAGACTCTGCACATGCTGTGCCTTGGAAGAACCACCTCCTGGGCAGCCTCACAACTGAAGCACATGCTGTCTACTGGCCGCCATATTCAAACCCAAGGCCAGCTTCTGTGCACGTGGTATTCATCCAGCAAACCACCTCCAGAAGACCTAAGCAAGGGAATCCAGAGGGTACAGATGCTGGGCAATTAAACTGTTTTAGAAACAGGGTCTCATTCCGTCACCCAGGCTGGAGTGCAATGGCGTGATAATAGCTCACTGCAGCCTGGATTACCCAGCGTAAGGAAGGCCTACTCATTGCCAGCATATGAACATCCGTTCGTCCCACTGCTCACTGTCACAGAACTCAGCACACTGCGTCTTCCTGGGAAATCACCCACACCAGTCTTTCTGGGATATCCTAGGGAAGGAAAGGTTGGAGGTTTCAGAAGCAGAGCCCAGCACTGCTCTGTGTCTCACCACCTGCTTCGCACCCGGCCACAGAGGAAAGCCTGTTCCATATGTGCCCATCTTGCCCACCAGCAGCAGCTGAGGGCACACACTTCCCCTGAAAACCTTTCTGGTGGCTAAGGACCTGGGGCTCTATTTAAAGATATGGAACTACCTTTTATGCAGCCAGAAGTGGCACAGTCTCTCTTACACCCTTGACAAAAGCTATATAATTTCGTAGAGCTTTATCTAACATACACACATCAACCTCAATAAAACCACCAAAATAACAATAATAAGATGAAATTTATTGCCCTTCCCTCCCCTGGAAGGCAAGAGAGAATGACAGAGGCTGCAATTTGGGCTTTAGGGTAGTGAATTCATTTGCAGGGCTAGGCTCAACCCAGGGGCTACAAGGATGACTCCCCAAAACCACAGCTGTATGAAGAGAGGCAGCTGGGCACCCACCATGGCTAACCCCACCTGCCAAAAACTGCACTCAGGATCCAGCCTGGGTGGAGGCAAGCATGAGAACCAGAGTAAAATTCTAGCCTTGGTACCCTCAACAGCATCTGATTTCTTCTGAGGAAGAGAAACCTATACATGAATTCATCAAGATGTAATTTATTATTTGATTGCATTTAAGATGTTTCTTACCAATCTCACAAGCAAATCTCAATAGGGTACTGCTATTTTGATCTGTAAGATCAAACTGCCTTTTAGGCTGGTGTGGTGGCTCATGCTGTAATCTCAACACTTTGGGAAGCCGAGGTGGGAGGATCACTTGATGCCAGGAGTTTGAGACCAGCCTGGGCAACAAAGCAAGACACTGTCTCTACAAAATAAAAAATAAAAGTTATCCAGGTGTGGTCCACATGCCTGTGGTCCCAGGTACTCTGGAGGCTGAGGCAGGGGAACTGCTTGAGCAAGAAGTTCGAGGTTACAGCGAGCTATGATCGGGCCACTGTACCCAGCCTGGCCAGCAGAGCATGCCACAATTCTATACAGAAACAACAGAATCTAGAGATTTACAGTTCTAGCTGAGGCTAAGCGACAGCTTATGGTCATCATGGGCAAAGCATGACATGGTCTCTGACCCTGTTCCCCCAGGCTCTTGAGGTATGGAGAGGGGCAGGGAAACCAGTAAGCCACAAACAGACGGTAACTATCAGACCTGAGCACCTGCTAATCCAGCACACCATCCCCGCCAGCCTGGCCTTCCAGCTCTGGACAGATATATACCATTCCATACCCGCCAGCCTGGCCTTCCAGCTCTGGACCGATACATGGCATTCCACATCACACAAGTGAAAGTGCTGGGCCAGGGCTGTGGTTTCCTTCTCTGTATCCCCAGGGCCTTGCCCAGAAGCTGACACACCATGTGTGGTCAACAGGCATTGAATGGATAAATGATAGTGGCAGAAAAAATACAGTGTGGCATGGGATGACTTCCAATTTCAGAGCTCCACAGTTCCCTTGCATAGTGGCTCCGCAGCACAGCCCTGGGGCTGCTGATGTCCAGGCCAGGTGCCGCAAGAGGTGAGTGGCACAGGCAGAGTGGCTGCTCTGCTCAGGTTAGCCTGGGCAGCACAAGGCCTGACCACCTCCAGTGCCCACCCGCCTTGCACATGTTGACTGTACCAATTCCCTTAGCCTGTGCCCTACCTCTGTCGTTCTTATCCTCCACCATCTGACCTGACCTCCTATAACAAATCTCAGGCGCAGTCCAGCAGGATTCCTCCTACTCCCCCTCCATCTCCCCATCTAAGGCCCTTGTCAGAGAATTCTCCCTATTGGCAAGGATGCCCTGTCCTGCCCTCTTGACAGCATAGAAGACCTGTCTGGGTACAGTGAGGCTTATCCACCCCAATCTAATTCCTCTTCACTTAACTTCCAGGGACAGAGACAAAAACGTCACAACAATCTGCCCGTTGGATGTGTGCCACAGTAGGCTCGTCACAGCTAGTTTCTCTGCTCCTAGAGGTCAGGGGTTCTGCCTGCACTACAGAGCTTATGGCTGGTCTGTAAACACCACAGCTTATTGCAGTTACTAACAGAGAGCTGACCCTGGCTACCTTGACTGGCCTTCACTCGTGACAAACCAGCAAGATGGGGGATGCATCTTGGGTGTCACTATTCCCAATTTTGCAGGTGAGAAAACTGGCACAGAGCAAGAGGGGAAGGGGTGTCCTGTGGGCTCTGAATTAAGTCAGACCAAGCCCTCTATCTGGATACGTACTGAGCCACACTGCCTCTGCCCCACACCCTCATGGTCTTGGGAGTCTGTGAGCCACAGTAGAAGAGAGAACAGAGGACTCGATACTGGGTAAATGAAGCTGCAGATTCAAAGGGAAGGGGTGGCTATAAACTTGAGACTTCATTTATTTACTCCCCCTCTCCCCAGCACTAATCAAGATGTAACATGCCCTCAGAGGCATCTGCCACGTCTCCTGACCTAGGAGACAGCAGGAGCTATGGTGCAGAACAGGGAAGACAGGAGGAAGGCTTGGCATTCTCTGCTTAAGGACAAGATGAGTCAGGACCAAGGATGTGGGCCCCCTTCGCTCCCAGACCATGGGTGCTACATCAGGGGGATAGAACATTGCAGAAAGCAAGAGGCCAGCCTCATCCCGAGCAGCCACAATCCCTTGGCACCTGTGGGCAGGCTGGTAGGCTTAGGCCAACCCCCTATTTTACAAACTGAGGCATGGCAAGGATATGGAGCTCACAATCAGGAGATAAATCTGGATAGGGTGGTTTACTGCTCACCCTTCTAGCACCACACCAAGGCTCCCAGGGGCCCACCATGGAGCCCTCCCATCTTTTTTTTTTTTTTTTTTTTTTTTTTTTGAGACGGAGTTTCGCTCTTGTTACCCAGGCTGGAGTGCAATGGCGCGATCTCGGCTCACCGCAACCTCCGCCTCCTGGGCTCAGACAATTCTCCTGCCTCAGCCTCCTGAGTAGCTGGGATTACAGGCATGCGCCACCACGCCCAGCTAGTTTTTTTGTATTTTTAGTAGAGACGGGGTTTCACCATGTTGACCAGGATGGTCTCGATCTCTTGACCTCGTGATCCACCCGCCTCGGCCTCCCAAAGTGCTGGGATTACAGGCTTGAGCCACCGCGCCCGGCCGGAGCCCTCCCATCTTGATTCTCCAGGGGTATTGCCAGCCCCAAGCAGGAGACATCGCAGAGGCATCCTGTGGCAACCCAGATGAACTCGTGCTGCTTTCCAAAGCCCAGGCTGATTCCTTGGGAGACAAGGACTCACTGAAGGCTGCAATCTCTCCTATGCTGGGACTACAGCTCCTGTAATACACCCCATCCAGTCACCCAAATGGCATTTGGCTTAGAAAAGAAGGGCAAATCTCTGGTCAGTTTCACTACTCTTTTTTCTCCCTGAGAGACAGCCCTCAAAGCAGACAGAATAGGCAAAGTATTAGCACAGAACCTGGAACAGAGTAAGTGCTCAATAAGTGGTTCCTGTCCCCATCATCATAACTCATTATGACTTCCTGGATGCCCATTCCTCACTTCCTAGGCTCAGGTGAGGAGCCCTCTTTCTATAAACTCAAGGCTTACTGGAGCTGGAAGGCCCTTAACCCAGTCCAGGGTTTTCAGGGCAGGAAACTGGAGCTTCTGAGAGGGGAAGGGGGCTGCAGGCCAGGTCAGATCCACAGCCACGGGTCCTCTGAGGCGAGAGGCTAACTGAGGCCCCTCTGCCCTTTGACAGCAGTATGAGCCCAGCGCCTCCCCAGAAAATCTCTCTGAGGCCCTGAAGCTTGGCAGGGAGCCAGGGCAGGAGGCCTCTCCAAGAAGATGCTGGCTGTGAGCCAAGACGCATCCCAGAAGCTCCAGCTCACAGAGAGCAGCAGAGGCGGAGGGGAGGAGGGGCAGCCAGAGCAGGGCGACAAGGAGCCCTCAGGCCAAAGGAAACAAACCTGCTGAAAGTGGTTTTGGCACGAACCTGGGATGCATGGCTGCCTTCCCGTGGTTTCCACACATCTGGGAGACTATGAAATCGCTGCTGGGGATGGGGGAAAGAGGATGACCCTCCTGTTAACTACAGCTGTGCCTGTTCAAACTCCACTGGGGCATTGCTAAACATTCATCCAAAGACTCTTCTGGGGTTACCCATTGGCTGCCTGTCCCCACCTAAAATTCTGAAAAACACAATGTTGCCTGCAGATTCAAGCCACGACTTCTGCCTCCAAGGACTGGGGGGTAATCCCCATTTAAAGGGCTATACCAGGCACTCCTAAAAGCCCCTCAAGGACCGAGGCTCTCTACTCGCCTCCTCTCTAGCTTTTCCAGGACCTCTATGCACAGAGCCCTGTATGGCCAGAAGCCTCCTGGGGGAAGGTCAGGATTGGTTACTAAGTACTGGGGCTAGAAGAGGTTCTGAGCCTCTAGTGTAGACCTCACTGTCCAATGAAAATATGTCAGTTCCGAGTATAATTTTAAATATTTCAGAAGTTTCATTAAAAAGAACAAGTCACTTTAATAATATCTTTTACTTAACCCAACATTATCATTTCAACATGCCACGTTTGCCACATTTCATGAGACCAACAGCACATGTGTCTGGTGGTGATCATACAGGACAGCTCTGGACAACAGCAACCTCTCCCCGTTTTCAAATGAGGATGAGAATGTGGTTCAAGCATCTGAGGGCAGGGCACGAGGACAGACAGGGAAGCCCCAGCTATGCTCAGCAGCCTTTCCCTTCAGCCTCCAAACACAAAGTCATGGCCTCCAAAATAATTTTATGATCAATCAAATTCAGGGAGACTGCAACATAAACCTATTTTAAAATAGACAACCCAGAGAGGAGCAGAAATGAATATACTTGACGTTACAAGGCTCAGGAACAAAGACCAACAGGAAGACACAAGAGGGTGGCTCCGAGAGACGTCGGCGTTAGATGCCAGTCTTGTTGAGGACCTCTGTACATTCTCTGCTCATGGCCACCTGGCTCCTGTGGGGTGTAAATACTCACACTCCAGCACTGGGTCTGCTGAATTTTCTACCATGTCTCCCTGGAGGAACTACCCACAAAAGCTCCTCTCTGCTTTAGAAGGCAAGAACAAGTCGTGCATTTACCCAGTGCTTCTGGTCTTCTTACTCTGAGTCGCCATGCCAACACACAGTCATAATTACCGAGGAACGCGTCAATAGTGGCAGCATTGACAAAGACACTATATCAGGGCCTCTAAGCTAAGCAAGGTCAGGCTCCTCACAGCCCCCCAGCTTCCTGCCCACTTCCTTTATTCCACTCTGATCCATTGCTTTCTCTTCATTCTTTCTCTCCCACCCAGATGGTCTCTGATTATATTTTCTCTGCAGAGAAAGGAACTACAGCTCGGCATATATAAAACACTTTTATAGCAATTGGGAGACAGGTTCTCCTTTGAGGCCCAATTTTAACTTGTGGGAAAAGTCACTTTAACATCCAGGCCTCAGTTATTTTGCTGTAAATGGGGAGAATATTTTGGCGCTTGCATATTCAGCAAATGGGCGGCTCCATTTAATTCACCTTCTAAATTCAGGGCTGATCTGTGTTATCTAGTCAACTCTAAGATCATCTTTCTGATCTGCACCAGAGGTACCAGAAACTCAGGGAAACAAAAGACAGTTCAGACCAGAGAGGGAGCTAGTTTTAACACCTCAAGAACAGCAGGGCTTGTATGTCTCCCCAGGAAGGACAAAATCTCAGAAAAGGAGCCAGGAGCAGCTGAATGGTGGGCTCTATCAGATTATAAAAAGATGAGTGGGCTGGAAGA